ATGGAGTGAAAGAAATCTACTTCACTTGGTTCAATTTTTTTGCAGTAGTTAGCTTCTTTTCTTATAACTAACTTATGCATTGATCTTTCGACATTACCTTAAGACTTTTCTCAAAGAATTTTTCGCAAACGAGATACTCCAAGTTGTCCTTGGACAAGGTTTATCCAGCTCCTTGCAGATATTGGTCGTAGTAGAGATATCAAAACTATGGTTTTCAAGTAAACGTATTCTGCTATACATGATTTTTTTGGTACTGCACATTTAAGTTAGTCATTTCATAGCCAATTCAATTTTGTTGTCCCTTTTCTCAAAGATTTGTAAATCTAAATCTAATATACGAAAAGGCATACTTCTAGTTTGCCGAAAAGCCACTAATATTTCAGTTTAAGAGTTCCCTTGAAACTCTAAAAGTGTACGTCAAGGTTCCCTTTCATACAGCTGAGATCAATCTCTGCTGCATTCTCACGCTGGTGTAGACAATCAGGTACATGTGCTAAATCAAGCTTCCGCCTGCGCTCTTCTGAGAACTCTCCACGTATTCGAAAGTTACCGATGAGGTTAATATATACATAAAGGTGTATGAAAAGTATTCAGTTGTCTAAAGTGTATAAGCGGAGTTGCAAAGACAAGTTTTTTTGGAAAAAAATGGAAATGTTCGTGAGGTTTTGGGTTTTTATAGGAAAAACCTATATTTAAACTTTCACCTTTAATGGCAAAGCTGTTGCAGATTAGCTTTGGGGTTATCCCTAATTTTTTTCAAGGACAATATAGCTTTTTTCATCACTTTTTTGTGTAGCAGAAAAACTCACTGCTATTGAGCTGATAACAAAGTAAACTGCATGTGCAATAATAGCGTTGTAGAAACAAGCGATAAATGTACAAATGAAGCAGATACCGTAACCGATGCCTGCAAGATATATTACAATCATATTAGCACACTCTCTACCTTGGTCCGATATGTGAAATTGAAATTACCTTTGAAGAGTGGGCAAACCTTTCGCCATATACTTACACATCCGGAGCGATGAAATTGACCCAATGCCAATTCCATATAGAACATGGGTAAACCACCAACCAATAACATTACCAAGTAGGGTATAAGAAACGCTCCTAAACTTGTAAGCTGAAATCAAGTACGAGTTTATCGATTAAAGGATATATACCTCCTCCATGCTTATAGCATACGGATGGAAATCTCCAGATATTCCCTAAATCAACTGCATATCCAATGACCGCCAACAAAAATTCCATTTTTGTGGCCCAACGATCTCGTACTTGAGATGATCGACGTCGCAATGCCGACACTCGTGATTCTAACCTTGGCGAAAGCCCTAAAGTTAGGTAATTTTTATATATGCTAAATTTCGTCGTTGAGCCTTTACCTGACATAGGTTCTATACTGTCTGATTCTCGTACTGCAAGAGTTACAGGCTTCTCGGCTGGCATTGGCTGGTATTCAGCCGCTGTGCCCAACCCTGAA